CTCAAATTCACTAGTCATGTTAAAAATTTAATGAAAAAAAGCTTATATGTCATTGAAACTGTTATACTCTAATCGATGCATTTTGAACCAACCTCTAAAAAGAATGCTCTGTGATAGTTTGGTGCTAAGCCATTTCAACTACTGTGACTTCACATACTTATATATTCATACTTATATAATTCAGACAAAAAGTGCAAAATTCTTATTGCCGCCTATATTTTCCAGACCTGTGGAAAATTGCCGTTGGGAAACCCATTCTCAAGAATAATGATCCAGCTAGTTATTCTGATCTCAGAATTATCAGTATACTCCCAACCATAATAACATTTATGAAAGAATTATCCATTTAATGAATTTTTCAATACCAATAGTCTGTTATTACCTAAACTCTTTATATGGAATCAGTCATCTATAACACAATGCACTTTCTGTTTTCTTGTGCCTCTCCGCACAATTGAAATCAGCATAAGAATGCACCATATTAATATTCAAATATATCTCTAAAACACTTTTAAAACACACACAAACTAAACTCGATGAAAAAACGAATTGTTCCTACGCGAGCTGTCAGCTAAGAAAAAGTTGAAACTCAATGTTGCAAAAATACGCAGAATGGATCCGATATGACATACATTTTCAATGCCAAATAAACCAATAAATCGAGATATGGGCACTCCATTTTCTTGAGAAAATGAACGATCAATTAAAATTTCCTGTAATTATTCATACATTTTTGTTAGAAATGAAGCAAGCAAACAAATGAATATACAATAATAAAATAACTCGAATCCACGAATAAAGCATAAAAATGGACAATATTTGCCTTGCTAACTGATATAGTACAAGTTATATCTAGATATGATTCTAAATAGAATTTAACGAGCTGTATTTTCAAATGGTTTTCGAATATTCATGAACCCTAATAAAATAAATCAATTATGCATTCATGCCACCCACCAAAAATAAGAAATTCAATGTTACTGGTATAATGGCCATATTGTCATCCAGTCAGCCATCGCCCTCTGTAGTATATGCGAAAATGTGCTCTTTCTAATGTCAATGGTTTCTTCACATAATATTCGTATTTTTGTTTTGTATGTTAGTTTTGTTAAAGCTGACTTCGACAGCTTACCAAGAGTCGATTTTGAAGTGATCTACTACTTGAAAAATTTGCAATACTTTGGTACCAAAATGAAGAATGAAAAATTGAAACGATGGGTGGCACATTTAGTAGGTCACTTTTATTTATATGGCATTCATTTCAGACTTTGTATTTTATCGAAGGATGGAAAGTTTTCATTTAATTTTTATATTAGCTTGGCCAAGGTAGTAATAGTAGAATTCAATCCAAAAATGTCCTGAAAAAATATTTTTCGAGATGTAAACTAATGACACGGAATATGTAGCAAAATAGGCATCAGCCGAGACCTACCTTTAACAAAAAACCGTTCTTTAATTAGATAATTGTAACAGTTGTTTTCACACCGAGTTGACAACAATTACAAAAATGGCGTCTGTCAAATTGGATCATCAGATCTGTGATTGGATATTAAAAACCAATACACTTAGCAACTCCGCTCTATATACGATTAATTTTATTGGTCAACCGACACGCGGCCAATTTAAATTCTTGCTCTTTGAATTGTTTTTTTTTCTGCAAAGTTTTGGGACAGAAGTTGAACCTGCTGGAGTCTCTGGAAATAATTAAGGGTAAACGTTCAGGTTCCCTGGTGAATGACCAACAAGAGGTTAACCTTTCATCATTGTTGAACCTTCTTCAACATCAATACGTTCATTCATATTGAATGAACGTATTACTGTCCAAGGACTAAGAGTGTAATAGGTTTACAAATTCTACCTAATATCACTTTCACTAATTATCAATTGAGTTTGATACCTACTATTGTTGTTATATATAAGAATAGCATATATAAATTGTTGATATTCAAAGTGGAGTTCGAATTGAAGGATTATTCTTATATTTGTGAGGGTTTATGAAACAGAGAACAGTTCGTTTTTCGATTTGGTCTCTCGTATCTGTTCATTGTACTGTTGAGATTTATATCATTTGAATATTCATTAAAGTTGTTGTATTAGAGTTAGGATCTAGTCGACATCATAATCATAATATCATAATGCATGTAGAGACATTTAAGAAAAGTAACAATATTGAATAGAATAGAATAGAATAGAAGTTTATTTAACCACATTACACTTTACATGTTTGTAGCAAGTCATGACAAATTTGTTACATATGCTTACGCACAGCAAAAGTAATTTCAGATCGGATGAGTATAAAATATAATTTGAGATAAAAAGTAGAGCAACATAAAGATTAACATTAAAAACATGAAAGAACAACATGATATAGCATATTTACGGTAGTCAGATGAGTATGTTGCTTGTATGTTGAGACTTAGGTAATCAGAGACAGAGTAAAAGCAGCCCTCCAATAGTAGTTGTTTGATGGATTGTTTGAATTTATTCACACTAAGATCTTTCAGCTTGACTGGTAAACAGTTATATAAGTTGTAATCCAAAGAATTTTTTTGTGATTTAACTAGGCGATATCGATTTGTACAGATCTTTTCAGCGTTTCTCGTACGGTACTGATAACTATTAGAACGTTTAGGTAAGGTACTCGCAATTCTGTGGATGTCTAGCAAAACATGAAAAATGAATGACGTTGGTACAGGCATGATACCTAGTTTTTGAAAATTGGCTGACACGGTTACCGAAAACCGAAATCTGTCAATATTCGAATGGCTCGCTTTTGTAACCTAAAGATATTGAGAGAACCAGGTGTGTTTCCCCAAAGAACAATTCCATAACCAATGTGAGAATGAAAAAGCGAATAATAAGTAATTTTTAATGTATCGAAGCTAGTAATATTTTGAAGTTGTCGTAGAACATAAATAGTGCTGGATAACTTGCTCCTAAGCTGATTTGTATGTTGATGCCAAGATAAAGTATTGTCAAGTGTTATGCCAAGCAATTTCACGCTATCATTTGAGGGGCTACAGTGGAGAATTGAAGACGCTGTGTCTTATTGGTATTTAATTTCAAATTATTTGTTAGAAACCAAGTATTAGCTTTATTTTCAATGTCTTCCGATATTTCTGTTAGTTTGTTGATACTGTTTCCACTGTAGATTAAGGTGGTATCATCAGCATAAAGAATTGTTTTATTTGGCGTCATAAAATTGCAGAAATCATTTACGTAGATGATAAAAAGTAAGGGCCCAAGGATAGATCTTTGAGGGACTCCATGTACTACAGGTTTGAAGCTAGAAATGGTATTATTGCAAGGAACAGCTTGATATCTATTTGTGAGGTACGATTTGATAAGTGTTAACGAAACTCCTCTCACCCCATAATATTGTAATTTTTCAAATAACAGCGTGTGTGACACGCAGTCAAAAGCCTTAGATGAATCAAAAAGTGTAATGGCAGTATGCAGTCCATCTTCAAGGCCATCAATGACATATCCAACTATATCTAAAACAGCTTGCGAGGTGGATCTTTCTTTGCGGAAACCATATTGGGAGTTTGAGAAAAATTTATTTGTTTCAAAATAGGAATATAGGCGTCTTTTTAAAATTATTTCAACAATTTTACTAAAAATTGAAATAATGGAAATATGACGGAAATTATCCAAGAAAGAATTATCTCCTTTTTTAAATATTGGGATCATTTTGGAGAACTTAAAAGAATCCGGAAATATGCCTGTTTCAAAAATCAGATTTACTAACATGGTTAACGGGTATAGTATGATGTCGAGTGTTTTCTTGATAATAGAACTATTTAAATCTTGGGTATCTAGGCAGTTTGAATCTCTTAGAGATTTTACCGCTTTTGTGATTTCAAGCTCGGTAACGGGCTTGAGAAAAAAGGTGTTGCAGGGAGCTGGAAATTTTTTAAAGTTTTGTAAATCAGATATGGGTAATTTAGATAAAGATTTTATGATACTTTCTGCAATATCCACAAAAAAGTCATTGAAATTTTCCAATGAGATATGGGAAGCAATTTGACAAGTTCTTTTATTTCGTTCGAAATAGATGATCTTCCAGCAAGCATTAGATTCATTTTTTGCTGAACGAATGTAATCATCATAAGCTCGTTTTTTAGCAAGTTTTATTTGCTGTTTAAAGTCCCTCTTCAGGTACTTATATAGATCAACATCAGAATAATCTTTGCTCACGTCAGCTATAAGTTTGACGTTAGTCAATGTCTTTCTGAAAGTTTTCAGGGAATCGTCGAACCAGGTTACTGGAGATTTATTGGTGATTGGTGTGGATTTCCTTAGAGGTATGTGTTTGTGAACCAAAGAAGTGTACGTGTTGGACAAATATGATGCAAGAATGTTAACATCGGTAGAGCTTTTGAAAATATCCCAGCTCGTTTCCGAGAGGGAGGATTTTAGTTTATTTAAAGTTGCTTTGGTTATTCTCCTGGAATGATTAGTTTTATTGATTAGTTTAGGTTTTTCATTTAGTGATCTCAGTCATAATTAACATTCGATTCCATTGGTTCGATTTTATTGGGACATTGAAAGTGATTGAAATTGTAATAATGATGCATAACTAAGCCCTGTGAGTCACATATTATTCAAGAATAATGACACCTAGATGGTTATTTCAGTTTAATTCTCTGTTTTGATGGTCCAACCTTCAATTTTTCCAACATTTTATCGGTTTGAAAAAAATAATCGCTTAAATGATATCTACCAATATTGTAGATGAAACCTCAGGCATAGAAACCTATAACCTACCAGCAAACCTCCTCAATGATTTTTTTTTGGAATTCATTGAAGTTTTCATCACTGACCTGGATTGCATTCCGATTGAGATAGTATATCAATACTGGTTATAAGGTATAATAATAAGTACGGCATGACTAATTTTGAAACATTTTCATCGATAACTTTGCAATACTTTCCAAGTTAAATAATATAAGAGATAATTTCAAACCTTTTTGGGTAACTTTTTGTTTTTTTTTCAGGCCGGACATAGTGGGACTGCGCCCGCTAGCTGCTCCAAGACCAACCCCGGCTTTAGAAGATTTAGAGGCGGTTCCAAGGCGACAAGCCTCTGTGGACGCCGAAGCTATTCGAATAGTTATACACGATGTTGATTCCGGTACGGCGGCTGCTGCTCAGAAAAGAGTGGTTCTCAGGAGAGATCCCACCGACAAAGCTCACAGAAGTAAGTGTCTCAGATCATTGACATATTTGATTGATTCGTGGTAAACTGCTAGCTTAGTATCAAGCTAGCAAAACCTTCCTGAATGAACAAAAAATATAAAAATCATTCAAATGTATGGTAGGCTTCAGAGGGTTGACATTGAAATAATTCTACAGTGTGTAAAAGTCAAATGGAATACATTTATTATTTCGGTTACTGCATATTTGACAAAAATCCCGAAACAAGTCAAATGTAAATCATAATTTGATATTCTTCAACGTAATTGCCACCCCTACCTTCAACCCCCTTCGAATTACAGGTACAACCCCCAATTTTTTGAATGGAAAGTATAGTGAAGGTAATGATATCTTCATTCTCTATTCAAAAATGTTATCGCTTTTGTATTTATTGCAACAACCAAAACAAAATAATTTAAATTATGTGGTTACCGAAATTCGATAAAATACACTCAAAAATTGAAATGTATTGCAAAACGTAATAAAATGTAGAATACGAAAGAGAACTATGGATGTTGACGAAGTAGATGTTCAAAATGTTTACCGCGAACGTCTTGGCAACATCCTAATCTCAAATAAAACTGTCCTAATCGACCTAATCGCAAGCGACATTCGTTCTTTTAAGTCATTCAAATCTGAAGGTTTAGATTTGTACACATTGCTCTTCACATATCTCTCCCTATCCACCGATTGGGAAATGTATCGAGGTATTGCCGGACATTAAATTGGTAATGTAGTGGAGCTCCGTCCTGCTGAAACCATATATTATTTACTGTAGGGTTTCCTGGATCAGGATATAAATTTGCTAAACTTGGAATGTCATCATTTTGAAGTAGTGCCAAATAATTATCGTCATTCAAGTTTCCCTCAATGAAAAAGGGACTAATGATATGGTTTCCTACGATCCCTGCCCAAACATTAGCATGATTAGCATGACCATTAAGAGATAAAGTATACTCATCAGAAAACATAACGGCTTCTAATTGGATAATATTGTTATACAACATGTCGATCATTTGCTCATAAAAATAAGTTCTTTTTACAAAATTGTCTTCCATTAACTCCTGAGTAGGTGTAATTTCAAAGTGATGCACTTTATTTTCGTTTAATATGTTTACATCGATGTATGGCTAACATTGAATGTAGTGGATGCCTGTCTACTCGATGCATGTGGGTTTTCCTCAAACTCGAGCATCACATCTAATTTGAGTTCATCACTCATTGCATTGGCAGCTGCTTTTTTTATCTGCTCCACATGATCAAGTTCGAGAAACTGCTTCTCTATTTTGCTTATTGTTCCTTGAGATTTGGGCGGTAAATTAGTAAATTTTTCATGAATAGGCGAGCTACTTCCTGTTGTGTTCGGATTTTACCTCCGTAACCAATCATTTGTAAAACTGTTATTTTATGAATTACCATTGATCTAACCATTTGTCACACTTGAAGTTAACGAACTTCGAACTTGAATTAAAATACTGACAACTAATGTTGTAACATACGAAACACGTTGACAAGGTGTTTTAAACTAACGTTGCCACGGAAATTATTTACAGTTTTTCAAAGGATACCGTCTAAAAAGAAAATTGCTATGGTTTTTGCTTACTTTCTTATTATCAATACCCCAATGAAATAAGTTTTGAGCATATTGCAATAAGTTTTGAGTGTAGTTTATCGAATTTCGGTATCCACATGATTTTAATTTATTGTCTCTCAATTGTTGCAATAAACTTGAAAGCGATAACATTTTTGAATAGAGAATGAAGAAACCTTTCAAATGATATATCACAAGCCTATACCTCCGATTTGAAAAATTGGGGGTTGTACCTGTCATTCAACGGGGGTTGAAGGTAGGGGTAACATTTTTCCGTGGAAGCATATCAAAGTATAGTACGATAACTACGATATATTTGATATATAGGTGCTTCGTAGGTCTTAGATGTGCACTAAGAAAGGATTTTCGAATATTCCAACTGTAGTGCTGCCCATGGGGGGTGAAAGGGGCGCATTTACATATGAAAATTGCCTGTCAATCACTGTTTCTCCATACTGTTATAATTTCGGAGGCTATAAGTTTGTATGTAGGTTCGTTTTATGTTGTAGATTTGCAATAAGGAATGCATTTTAAATATTCCAACTGGGGAGCTCCCTGGAGATAAAAGGGGCGCATTTAAATATGAAAATCACCTTTTTATCATTGTTTTTCCGTACCGCTATATTTTCAGAGGCTGTAACTTTAGGTATATGTAGATTAATTTTATGATGTAGGTGTGCATTAGGAAAGAATGTTTAAATATTTCAACTGTAAGAGTTGTAAATGTTGTATATGAAGACATTCTGTAGTATATTTAGTATCAGTATTGGACCGGTGTGTAGCATATATATATATATATATANCTATAATATTATTGTTGTTTGAATTTTATAATAATAATAATAATATTTCTATCGAAATTATTCGCAGTTTTTTAGTTGCCTCTGCTTTTTCGAATTCAAAGGTTTGTTCAAGAAAATAGCCAAGATATTGAAACTTTGCACCAATTTTTATAGCAATTTTTTAATTTCTCTCTAAAACTGTCCGAATAAGTAAAAATGTATCAGAAAAGTCAAACTCCATGATGAGTTTGTTATGTATACATGAATTGATGACAATTAACCGAACTTGTTTTTAAAAATAAAGAGGATATCTGTCAAAAATAAGCAAAACGTCAACTTCATCCTAGTTGCATAAAATTTGGCATATAGATATAAAATTATCGTAGACACAACTTTTCCAAGTTACTTTTTGTTGAATTCGATATAGAAATGCACTTTTTCATTTTTTATAAAAAAAGTTGAATTTGACAAACACTGAACGTCAGTGGGTCACAGTTGGCCGTATCATTTAAAGTTAAATTCAAAGCACAAACAAGTGCCGAAGTTAATCTTCATTGGAACTTTTCGAAAAAAAAGTTTCCCATATGGTGGGCACTTTAATGGTGACACTGTATGTAGATCCCTTTTCATATGTCGATCTAGAACTACTCCCAAATATTTGATTGTAGCGATACTTGATAAAAATCCATAACGTATTCACACGATCTAGTAACGAATGAATATTGTCGGTTCTTTATTTGGGATGCTACTTTTCGATTGACCACCGTATACAATTTTTGAAAGAATTTTTCATACTTATTTCTCGTGACTTGATTCATCAATCTATTCGAAACTATATTTAAAAACCCATTATATCAGCCATCCTAATGATAATGACAGTATTACGTAAATTCAACCCTAAATTCCGGAAAAGGAAGAAGCGAAATCCCTCACCTTATAATAAATTGTCTGCTCATTTGTAGGTAGGAATTTTGGGAGAATTGATCGGAGGCTCTTATATATTTCCAAATGATCCTGGTATAGTTGATTATTCATCGTTTCCGAATACTGTGTTTATGAAATTGATTTGAAACACACCTCTAATATACAGTGCCATAAGTGGTTTCAGCATACTATATATTTTTACATTTCAAGGGAGAAGTTATAGAAAATTATGGATTTTTGGATCAACCTTCAAATCCCAATCACACATTCCATCATTAATTTTCCAGAGTAAACCTAAAGTAGGTGGTAGCTTATTAGTGGAATATAAAAACTTATGACGTTTCTTTTTTTTTCGAACATATCAGTCGTCGGCTTGGCTAGAAATCAAATCGAATTCTACCTTCAAAGTAGACAAATCGACTCTCTTCTTGTTTGAGTCACGATTAGTTTACCGCGAATTGTGGTATTACGAATAAAATTAATGATTATATTTTATACTTAAGCTGACAATTGTACATAATAATAGTGAAGTTACTTTAAAGGAAGGTTACATGTAAGTCTAGTAATAACACTCGTACCAAATTGGAAATAAACGAGCAATTAACATACTCTAGAAGAAATCTCTGAAATTTTTAGTGACCACTTTCAACATATCAATTCATCAGAAAACTATGATCCTACATTTCTTGATATTAAAGAGGCATACGAACAAAACAAAATGAATTTTCAGACAGAGGAGTTGTATGATTACAACTCATCTCTCACTATGGATGAATTCAGGGAAGCGCTAAGCACAGCAAAACCTTCAGCACCTGGGCCTGACAAAATCCACTACGAATTCCTAAAACATCTTCCTAAAAAACAAAAGATGAACATTTTACACATTTTCAATGTTGTTTGGTCTACAGGAACCTACCCTGAAAGATGGAAAGAGGTTCATATTATTCCAATTCTGAAACCTGGTAAAGATCCCACCTTACCTGAGAGTTATCGCCCAATTTCTCTTACCAGCTGCCTGAGTAAGTTGTTGGAGAAAATAGTGAACAACCGTCTAACCTGGTGTTTAGAGAATAGAAACCTTCTCTCCAGATTCCAAGCAGGATTCCGAAAATTTCGTTCGACTTTAGATCCACTGTCTTGTTTGGAACATGAAATACAGTCCAGCTTCGTCAAACAAAAACATCTAACAGCTATATTTTTTGATATTGAAAAAGCTTTCGATCTCACGTGGAGATATGGGGTACTGAGAACTTTGCATGAATGGGGATTCAGAGGCTATCTGCCGCTTTTTCTACAACAGTTTCTCAATGACAGGAAATTCAGGACTAGAATTCAAGAAGCTATATCAAACCCTCGAGAAATGGAGAACGGTATACCCCAAGGTTCTACATTGAGTGTCACTCTGTTTGCAATTGCCATAAACGCCATACTAGAAGTAGTAGAAGGTCCAGTGAAAATAACTGCATTTGTGGATGATCCAGCTATATTCTATTCGTATTCAGTCACTTCTGATGCTGAGGAGAAACTCCAGAACACCATAAATGAGCTTCACAGCAAAGCACACAGTACAGGTCTCAAATTCTCAGCAAGCAAAACAAAGGCGATTCACTTTTGTAGAAAGCGAAAACTTCATAATAATCCCAACCTCAACATGAATGGAATACCTATACAGTTTGATAACAAAATAAAATTCTTGGGGATGATATT